AAATCTGTAAAGTATCACGTGTCAGTAGAGACATAAAATTAACCAAATCTAGGTATCATAAGGAAGAATTTCAACTAGTTTTGGAAAAGTGGGGAGAGAAGAAATGAAGGAAACAAAGAGAAAGGGAATGCTGCCTTAATATATTCCAAGAGACAGAGTATTTAGTTTGCTGCAAATTTCTTAGAGGTTCTGCTTTGTGTTTGTTTGTTGTTGGTGGGGAGGGGGGAGTTGTTTTTTAAAGTTACCATACAATTAACATACAAAAGCAAGATAGATGGTGCCAGAGAGATAGGTGAACAAAGTCTAAGTCAGAGTACAGAGCTTAGAGGAGGGATTTGAAGAAGGGAAAGGGTGGGATGCTTGGCATAGAAGAAGAGGGAAACCATTCCTGATGTAGAGGTGAAAAGGCACAGTAATAAGTGGGTGAAGGACTCAAGAATTAAGAAGGGGGTTTAAAGCAAGGCACAAGATGATGATCAGGAGGAAATGGAACCAACATGTAGGCAAACACAGCCAAGTAAAACTTCAGGCCAGCATGGCTAATCTTCTACACCAAGTCTCACTGCAGGAGGTCACAGAGCCTAGGCAATGCCTGGGAACCAAAAGCATCATATTTGTGAGCCAGCTGTATTGCCTCAGATTGGGTGGCTTGGTGCAGCTAAGAGGAGCACAAAGCAAGAACCCCTCTATACTGGATGCATGGGGCTTAGTTCTGGGATTTCTAAATTCCAAACCTAATCAGGTCCCATTACCTGACCATACTATATCACTGCCTGTCACATGCAGAGGATAGAGATACTGCAGGGAAAATGCAACTGCCTTAGTTAGATGCAGAGCTTGGGGTACATGTTCAGAGACAATGGCTTTCAACATGGAGCAGAAAAAAGGGGCATAAGTGACTCAGGTTAGTGGAACATATGGAAATTCTCAATAGCAGGAAGGAACAGCTTGTCTCAAATTCACTTAAGAGATACTACACTCTAGGCTTAACCAACTAGAAAGTTTACCTTTTGAAATATTGGGACGCTTCAGAACCACATATCAATTTTAAGCCTCATCACTGCATCTTCACGGCTGAGGATTTTAGGGAGATTCCCAAACCTGAGCCGGCTTTTGTAGGGGACAAATCTGAGGAACTGTCACAGATTGAAGTGTCATTAGAGGAGATTTTGGAATTAATTGATAAACTTAACATTAACAAGTCACCGGGACCAGATGGCATTTACCCAAGAGTTCTGAAAGAACTCAAATGTGAAATTGCGGAACTATTAACTAGGGTTTGTAACCTGTCCTTTAAATCAGCTTCTGTACCCAACGACTGGAAGATAGCTAATGTAACGCCAATATTTAAAAAGGGCTCTAGAGGTGATCCCGGCAATTACAGACCGGTAAGTCTAACGTCGGTACCAGGCAAATTAGTCGAAACAATAGTAAAGAATAAAATTGTCAGACACATAGAAGAACATAAATTGTTGGGCAAAAATCAACATGGTTTCTGTAAAGGGAAACCGTGTTTTACTAATCTAAGAGTACGTCCAGACTACCCGCCGTATCAGCGGGTAGCGATCAATTTATCGGTAATCGATATATTGCGTCTCATTAAGACGCGATATATCGATCCCCGAACGCGCGCCCCATCAACTCCGGAACTCCACCGGAGCGAGCGGCGGTAGTGGAGTCGACGGGGGAGCCGCGGCCATCAATCCCGCGCCGTGAGGACGGGAGGTAAGTCGGAATAAGATATGTCGACTTCAGCTACGGTATTCCCGTAGTTGAAGTTGCGTATCTTACATCAACACTTCCCCCCAGTGTAGACCAGGTCTTACTTACTAATTAGAGTTCTTTGAAGGGGTCAAACAAACATGTGGACAAGGGGAATCCAGTGGACATAGTGTACTTAGATTTCCAGAAAGCCTTTGACAAGGTCCCTCACCAAAGGCTCTTATGTAAATTAAGTTGTCATGGGATAAAAGAGAACAAAGGATAGGAATTAATGGTAAATTCTCAGAATGGAGAGGGGTAACTAGTGGTCCTAGGACCA